TGCCTTATACTGGATCTTAAAGGGAAATCTCTAGATTTTTGCCATTAAGGATGTTGTTAGCTGTAGATGACTTGTAGATATTCTTTTTCAAATTAAGAAAATCTCCTTCTATTTACAGTATTTATCACAAATGCATACTGAATTTTATCTTTGCATCTATTGATACAACCATATGATTTTTCTTCCTTAGTCTATTGACACAATGAATTACTTTGATTGATTTTTGAGTGTTGAATAATTTTGCATATATTCAATAAATCCCACTTGGTTATGGTATAAAATTCTTTTGGTATATTATTAGATTTGATTTGCTAATAATTTGTTGAATTTTTTGCATCTCTGTTCATAATAGATACTAATCTATAGTTTTCTTCGTTTCAAATGTATTTATATCTGTTTTTTTCAGAATTTAGGTAATATGGGCCTCAATGAATGAGTTAAAAGGGTTCCCTTTGATTTTTTTCAGAAGAGATTATAAATTCTTTGGAAAATTATATGTAGATAATCATATCATTTTATATAGGGATAGTTTTATTTCTTCCATTCCATATGCATGACTTTTAGTTATTATTCTTACTTTATTGCAATGGCTAGTATTTCCAGCCTATGTTGAATAAGTGTGTTAAGTGAATATTCTTTCATTGTTCCTGATCTTAAGGGGACAACATTCAGTCTTTCATCATTACATATGACATTAGCTGTAAGATTTTTGTAGATGCTCTTACCAAGTTGAGGTGATGCTTCTCTATTCTAACTTTTTGAGATTTCTATCATAAATGAGTATCAAATGTTTTTACTTTATGTGATTTTTCTTATTTAGCTGTGGATGTGGTAGGTTAAATTGAAGTAGCTTTGTAATCCTTAATAAATTACACTTGCTAATGTTATATAATTCATTTCATACATTGTTGAAGTCAGCTGCCAATAATTTGTTAAGAACTTTTGAGTCTATGTTTGTGAGACATACTAGTCTGTAGTCTTTTACTATTGTTGTTGCTCGTTTGCTTTGGGGGGGGTTGTTTTTTGTTTTTTTGTTTTGGTGATTTGTATTAAACCCATGGCCTCACACATACTAGGCAAATGCTCTACCACTGAGATATAACCCTAGCCCCTCTCATTTCTATTTCTTGAAAAAGACTGTGTAAAATAGTTTTTAAAGTGTTTGGCAAAAGTCTCTTAGATTATCTTGATATGGAGATTTCTTTTTGGGAGTTTTTAAATTACAGATTCAATTTCTCTAATAGTTATAAACTATTCAGTTATATATTTCATCTTGGTTGAGTCTTGGGCTAATCACTTTTGGTTGCTAATTCAGGTGTGTTTCCCATATTTTCTGGGAAACACACCTGTATTAAATGACTAAAGCAACATTTTCAAAAAAGTAATTGACTTTAGTCTGGTGCTCTGACATCATATATACAAAAAATCTATAGGCAATTTATAGGCAAAAACTTCTGCAATAGCAGAGAGGTATAAATTATTAGAATGTAAAAAAATGAAAAGAAAAGGCAGAGTATACGTGAACATCTAGCAGGTGATATGTGAGAAAGCTGTGTTGATCAATGGTAAGGAAGCTGTTATTGATGGCTACTGTTGTGCAACACCAAACTGAAGTTGGGTTTAATTTTACATGGGTAAGCCTAGTGTAGGAATGCAGCAATTTTAGATGGTTAAGCCTGGTATTAAAATGCTGAAGGGATCAAACGTGTATGTTGCCATTGTCCCTCAAATAGATAATTGCAAGGGGAGGGGACCAAGGTCAACAAATATTTTGTCTACTATTTTTAGAAGGCATTCAGAGTGTTTGGGACATTTCAGCTCACAACAATGAAGCCAGCAGACCAGACAGATAGGATTTCAGAGTTAGAGTGTGTCCAGTTCAAGAGTGTGTGAAACCAGATTAATAGTGCATACTTTTAATCCAAGACAGTTATAGCAATTGTCCAATACAAGGACAAAGCTACTAAGAAAGACAGTAGTTTAAGAAACAAAGCTAGCAAGCTCTATAGAGACAATCTGACCCAAACTGAGAACAAATACTGAATTTCAAGCATGCTGAGGTATGCAGAGGACATAGAGTGGATTAAGGTACTGCCATTGCTTGTTTCTAGAAGGAGAGCATTAGAAAATCTCTAAACCACTTCTTATTCTTCTGTGAAATGGAGGAAGATCACCAAATAAATTCTGTACTATGAAGGTCACCAATCCTTGAACTCTAGACATTGGAAGTTAGAAGGTTGCAAAATATTTTTTAATCCAATATCCACATCTTTTAGACAAAGAGGAATGCAGGAAAAAGAATTTACTTAAGATCACAGCTGAGACTACAAATGAAATTTCCTAATTTCTAACCAAGTACTCTTTTTATTATATTGCCTATCTTAGAGTCCAACAGACTTTTCTCATTCCTGGTTCTTCCCATAGTTTGGCTATACCTAATCATGTCAATTAGGTTGAGATGAATAGAACTCAGGTGCTATTCTTCTCCCTTTCCTCTCTCATCTTCTCAAATTCATAGTTTTAATTTAACAGATAATTTTAAAAACTATTAAGGATTTAGTTAGGCAGTGAGAAAATTATCAAATCAAGTAAGGCATGTTTCCTACCTCAGAGGAATTATAGGTATAAACATTGAGTATGGTATTCTTGACACCAAAGTTATATGTACAAAATTTGTCACCATCACCCAACAAATGTTCTGATGGAAATCTCCTTTTTTAGTTGACTCCTTAATTTCCACAGTCATTTTTGTTACTCTGACATGAAAGTGAATGAATATCTGGTTTCTTTTACCCTTGTTCTCCTACTAACCAATTAATTCTGGAGCTCTGGTAAGTCATATCTCTTTGGGCTTTATCTCCTCAATTTGCAAAATAACCTTCTGTTATTCACCTTTCTTCCTTTCTTGTTTTTTTTGTGCATTTTTAAAACTTAGAGCTTTATAGTTATTCATAGTAATTGGGTTTATCCCAACAAATTCATCAAACATGCATGTAATCTAAATTTGTCAAACATCCCAGTGACTTAAAATTCGACTTCAGTTCATGATCCTCCTGCTTTTCCTTTCCCTTCCTGTCCTCCTCTTCCTTTCTTTTCAAATTTAGTCAAATTCAAGGTATTGAGTGTAATCAATTTATTTCTTTTTTTCACATTTCTCTGGTTTCTCTCTCCTCTTTTGTGTTCATAATAAACAAAGTCTTCATTCCTGGATTATTAATAGCCTTCGAGGTGTTAGGTATAGCTATAACTTGTTGGAAGCAAATTTAAACACAATTTAGTCTCAAGGAATATAGATCAGACTGGAGACTAGAAAGTTAATTAAGGAATCAATTAGAATAAAGATCAATCTTAAACTAAAAACCTGACATTCAATTCCTTGCCAAAACTGGCTTCCATTGGCCTTCCTGATTTATTTTGAATGACATCTTGTTTTTAGTCCATTTGGGCTGCTACAACGAAATATCGTTAAGTAGGCAGATTCTGAACAATGTATATTTATTTGTCACAGAAGAGGCTAGAAATCCAAGATCACGGTGGTCCATGGCTAGGTCCCAGTGACCTAATCACACTTCACATCCTCAACATCTCCTACTACCATCACAATGTGACTGGGTCTTAACATGCGAATTTGGGATGGACACAAACATTCAGACCACAGAACTTCTCAACTCATATCCTTTCCTACCACACCTTCACGTCAAATGTTATCCTTCCTATCCTTCTTGCGTAAGACGTTTTTACCCTTTTGTGTAAACTTTATTCTACTAGGTTTTTGTGATTGTCACTTTTTGTTTTTTTGGTACTGAGGATTGAACCCAAGGGTTCTATACCACTGGGCTACATCCCAGCCCTTTTTATTTTTTTGAGATAAGGTCTCCCTAAGTTACTGAGGCTGGCCTTGAACTTGCAATCCTCATGCCTCAGCCTCCTGAGTCCCTGAGATTACAGGCAGGTACCACCACTCCTGGTTATTCTAATAGTTCTTTAAAGGCCATGAATCAGTAATCTCTTCTTTCTTCGAATTCTTATACAAATATTTAAAATACAAACAATAATTTCATTTCCTAATTCCCTTTTATGAATACTGCAAATGTGAAAGAGATGATATGCAAAAACTCTTGACCAACATTAATGGAAGAATAGAATCCTTATACTCTTTCAATTGTATACAACAGTAAAATAATTTATATTGTAATTATTTTACTATTTATTCCTAATTTTTTTTGCAAATTAAAATAATCATATGGTTGGTAATCTTTTTATAGAGAATTAATATGTATTCCAAATTGTGTTAGAATATTTAATATGAATATTAAAATAGATTTCCTTGGTTGTAGGCAACTTCTGATACATGATGATATCTGGACAAAAGTTTGTGACACATTAATGTTACTGACTAATATGTCTAATTTAGGCAGATACCAAAGAAGCATTGAACAATATTATGTAAAAGCTAGTAACTTGCAGTATTAATAGATAGGCTCTGAGAACTCTCTATTTCAGTCTGCAACTGCCAATCAGATCAAATGATTATCAATGTTAACATTAATGAAAGTAGAGAAGCCATTTGGATAGAAACTTAAAATGTTATTTTCTGTCTTTCAGATTCGTTTGTTGCTGCTTGAACTCCAATTTGAATCCTTCTTCAGAAGCAGGCCACGATTAGAGGAATAAAGGGTTTCATGTGGCAGGAGTAAAGTAGCACTGTCACATCCCATCAATCTTCTAAGTACCCACTCTCAGACACCCATCACTGCCCTGTCTCACACCAGCTCCAATAGAGATTTTCCCAAGAAATAAGTTTCAAGCTATTTTAGTTCCCAACACTACTGTCCATTTGTCATAACTGAAAAAAATATCCATTATATTGCAAAAAGGTTCTGTTATCCAGTATTTGCTAATTATGATTGAGACCAGAAACATATAAAGTTTCAAAGAAAACAATTGAAGGGAACATCTGAAAATAATTTCCCCCTATCCTTTGTTGTTCTGCTACTCACGGCAAATCTTCCAATCTGGAGGCTTCATGTCTTGGATCCAATAGATCATAACCACATTCATTGTAGATTTCCAAGTAGGAAATGTGTGTTGTATATATTTTGCTGCTGTCCTGATTGAAAAAGAGTAAGACATGATTTAATGACTACAAATAACCATTCATTTTAGAGGAAGACGAACACATTTGTCAATGTAGTTTCCTCACAGTTTCTCCCCATTCTCACTCACTCTATGTGGTTTACATTTTCAGTTCGTGACACTTTCAAGTTGCCAGTTACCATATGCATGAAACTTTTTTCTTTCTTCTCTTTTCTTTTTTTTTTAATGGTCAACTCCCATGATTACAAGTAACTTCAGTCTGTTATTTTTTATTGGTTCCACGTTATACATAAAAAGTCGATGTATACATACAATGAGCCAATTTGGTTGCAGAACTGTATAACACACCATTTTTTACTTTCCAAACCAAAAAAAAAGTTACTAAGAAAATACACACTTACGTTCTATGAATAGTCTATTCATAAAAAAACACAGATCATTTCTTTGGTTCAAAAACTTCAGTAGCAAAACAGTTTGCATCTTTAGTAATAATTCTTTTTTTTCACTTTTGTAATATTTGAAAACTTTTCTGGTGATATAAATAGATAAAAGTGAAATTAAGTCCCCAGGACAGAAGATAGCTTAGATCAGTCAGGTAAGAGAGGACACTAACAATTCATACCTTGCTTGTTGGGTTAATTCTCCTGGCTCAAGTGGGCAAATCAGGGATATTTGTTTATGGGTTACAGAAAGGTGGCTTCTGTGGCCATTACTAAAATGTAATGATGTAGTTATCAACACAATTAAGCTAAAAGTCAAGATAATGGGTCTTAGTCTCAGCTCTGCTAACAGAAAAAAAAAAAAAAAAGACCTATTCCTTCTGAGGTGGAATATGGCAGGAATATTTTTTAGCTCTTGAGGGAATTCCAAGTACATTTTTCCAATCAAAATATCAAAATGAGAATACCTCCTCTTTGTTCCTTCAAAATCACAAATGCTTCTATTTCTGCAAATATTATTATGTTTTTAATAAAGGGAGAATATATTTGAGTCTTGTGGCAAGAAAACTGTCATAATGGACAGTAAGAGGATTTGCCTCAGATGACCTGCCTGATTCTCAACCGCATACAAGAACAATCCATTTACTAGCTGTTGCTCAAAGGGAGACAGAACAAGTCACAGAGACTAGGGAGGGAACTGTGGCCTTTAAATCCAAAGCTGAAATCCCAGTCCTACCAGTTATGAACTTCTACCATTATCGGACCTTGGTTTTCACACACATGAAAGTGAGGAAGTGGATGATGAATCCCTACATATTCTTTAGTTTAAAATTACTATGACTCATTGGTCCTAAAATGGCTCACACTATACCAATAAAGATATACCATCTGATATAAACAAAATGATTCATAAAAAATTAATGTAACTTTCAACCAACACATGAATATTATAAAAATACTCAAGCCACAGCTAAAATTCCATGTTCTGGTATTCTGTGAAGGTGGCAACTTGGATTGAATTCCTACTAAACAAATTTCTCTCAACTAAGTTCTGGAATCCAGCTGATGTGACTTCAGTGCTTATTCTAACAAATGGCCTATTGATTACATTAGTACCCCGTGTTAGCGAAGGCTCTATTTCAACATAATTGTTTGCATCATAGCGTGGTTTAGTACAGGTCTCAGAGACTATAAACCTGAGACAGATTATAAGGCTGTTAATCTAATTCAGTGTTTCCCAAAATAATCCATGAAATACTCCTGGAAAAAAGTGTCCCATGGTCATCATAAACACTCTGCTCCTCCCTGGAGGATTTTATCAGAGCATGATAAAGGCCCTAGAGATCCTTCAGCCATGTTGTGAGATCCTGTTCTAAAATTTTTCTGAATATAGCTGAAATGTACCAGAGATTATGGTTTGAGATCTTACAGTTCTGAGCTCTTAGCATCAGACAGAACTGGGTTTGAATACTGAATCTACTAGTTATAACTGAGTGATCCTTGATTATTTCACCATGATAATTAATCAGTGAATAACAGCTCTGATCTTGCAGAACTGTTGTGATGGAGAAATAAGGCTATATACTTAAAATCCTACCAAAAAATCCTTAACCATCACAGGAACCAATGGACCATTGTTACTGCAGATATATAATTGTCACTGATTTTGTTTTATTTTATTTTATTTTTGATACTGGGGATTGAGTCCAGGGGTTCTCTACCACTGAGCTACACCTCCAGGCCTTTTCAATTTTATTTTTGAGACAGAGTCTAAGATTCTGAGGCTGGCCTTGGAACCTGCAATCCTCCTGCCTCAGCCTCTTGAGTATCTGGGATTATAGGCGTATGCTACTAGACCCATCTTATCATGGATACTACTTTAAATTATTATGTCCATAAGCCTCCAAATGAAGAATTCAGTATGTGAATATAAAAGGAATGAAAAAGAAATGCAAAGAGAACAATTTATATGTTCATTTTCAGTGAAGAAATTCTCTTCTTCCAGAGAGTTGAATAAATCATAAAAGTCAGGAAAATGGCAGGTCTACTGCTCTGAGATGATAGGGATAATGGCTTTGGCTCCTCCAGCTTCTGCATTTTCTGAACTTTTATTGGAATACACACTTAAAATTCATTGAGCTTTGTGGCAAGCTACCTTTCCTTATTACTTCTTTTTAGTGTCTAGGTTGCCAGACTGTAATATAACACACATGTGTCCCGCAGACAGTCTCGTCTCCAGCCCCCAAACAAGTTTGAAACTCACAATGCTCAAAAATAATGAGCAGTGATTTCTAAAATAAATGGAATCAATTTTCTTCTCTAATCAGTGAAAATGGGACTGGGGATATAGCTCAGTTGGTAGAGTGCTTGTCTCGTATGCACAAGGCCCTGGATTCAGTCTCCAGCACCACACCAAAAAGAAAAAAAAAATCAGTGAGAATGTGTTCTTATCACTCTCACAGGTACTTCAGGACCCAGTATACCCTGGACTTCTAGTTTATCTTGAAATAAAGACTTTGCATAAGTCAAATGTTCCTTTAAGAATTCTAGAGAGGCCTGGGGCTACAGCTCAGTGGTAGAGCACTTGCCTAAGACATGGGAGACACTGGGTTCAATCCTAAGCACCACATAAAAATAAATAAATTAAAGTATTTTGTCCATCTACAATTAAAAAAAAAATTCTAGACAGTTCCATTAGACCTCTAAAGGCAATTAGCTGAAGACCTCTGAGTACCAGTCCACATTCCTCAACCATATAAAGCAGACAAACTTCATGATACACTTTAAGTTGCCTGACTAATTTCACCACAGCCCAGTGTGATTATAAATGGATGTGCTGTTCTCCATCGTGGAAATCTGGCCATTTCCAAAGAGTTGCCCTGGCTATAAATTGGTCTGATAGGCTTTCTCCAAGTCCAGGAAGTTATTTAGGATCATTCAGAATAAAATGAGGTTTAGAGCCATGCCAATGACAAACAGATCTAAAACATTAAACCTAACAGATGTTGAGTACTTGGGAGATATTTAGATTTTAGAACTGTATTTCAGTAACCAAAGATGAAATTTTTAAAAAGTTGAAAACTATTTTCCATTAGTAGAGGGTTTGTTTATTCTGTTTAATTTAATCAGGGAAATTGGCTTCATTTGTTTTGAGTTTCAAAGGTTTCTCTGAAGTTGGTCAGGGATCATTCAGCCACATGCACTAACATGAATATTAATGGCTGTGCTAATATATAATAATTATCATGTACTGAGTATATACTGTGTGCTAGGAACTGGACAATATCTTAAATACCATCTGTCTAGCCCTCACAGCCACTCCATATAATGGGGACCTTAAGCTACATGCTGTCATAAGTGCACTTTCTCAGAACCAGGCCAGCCTGCTCCAACACCAGTGATCGTTCCAAGACAACAGGCTTCCCGATTAGGCCACAACAACAAAAACTATTAGAAACTACATTCCCAGTTTGTGAAATCTGGGAACAAAACAAAATTGTCAATGTCCAAAATAAATGAGTAAATGAAAAGAAGGACCTCAAATCCGGCACACACGCTATGCTCAACTCTTTCTCTTCCACGTTTTCTGGCGTGCAGAGTTGGCATGCTTGAGCTAGTAAGAGATGAGCTGAACTAATGGATAATTGCTACTTTATGGCTGGCAATTAGAATTATGCAGATCTCAGCAATTTCTTCACATCTTTGTAATTCAAAATGCAAATAACATACAGTAGAGAAATTTTGGAGTGACTGTTACATTGACCTACTTAGGACATTTACTAAACAGAATTAATACAACCAAAGAACTGGGGAACTAGAAGGGATGCTGAGGACTCTCTAGTACAATTCAATCCCTACTTCAGAGTGGAGAAAATTAAACCCACAGAACCTAAATAAACTCATTATAGGGAATTTGCTTAAATATTACCAATAATATAAAGCCAGTCTGAGCCACAGAGGAGTGTATGTAATGGCAAAAAGCACAGAATATGGTAAGATAGATCTGAGATGAGCTCCAGCTCAGCTCTTCCTAAGATGAACCCAAAGAAAAATATTTAAACGGAGGCTCAGTTTTCCCATAAAAGGGGATAAAGATACTTACTTTGTTAGTTGTACTATATGTTGTATTAAATAATGATAAAGGATAAGGCACTTGGAGGAACTCAATAAATGACATAATAAAGACAGGAATGCTGGGCACAGTGGTGCACACCTGTAATCCCAGTGGCTCAGGCAGCTGAGGCAAGAGGATCATGAGTTCAAAGCCAGCTTCAGCAATGGTGAGGAGCTAAGAATTCAGTGAGACCCTGTCTCTAAATAAAATATGAAATGTGACTCAGAGGTTGAGTGCCCCTGAGTTCAATCTCTGGAGAAGGAAGGAAGGAGGGAGGGAGGCGGGGAAAAGGGAGGGAGACAGGGAACACTCTTTATAAAACTATAACATTCACTGCAATGGAATTTGTACTCTGGTATACTACTTTGGCTTCTTTCTGGGAAAAAGTAAGAACTATACTATCCTATTTATTGCTTTAGTAGCTAGAAGAAAGGTCTGCTTGGTTAAAAGACTATTTCTCAGTTTCTTCCATTTTTTTTTTCTGGTACCAGGGATTGAACCCAGGAGCACTTAAACACTTGAGCCACATCCCCAGTCCTTTTTATATTTTATTTTGAGACAGAGTCTTGCTTGGGGCCTCACTAAATTGATGAGGCTGACTTGGAACTTGTGATCCTCCTGCCTCAGCTTCCCAAGCACTGGGAATACAGACATGCACCACTATGCCTCAGTTTCTTAATGTGGAATATAAGATTTTAATTGGTAAGATGTATTATTTGCTCTTTTAAGCTCTGTGACTGTAACAGAACTCTCTTTGATCTTTTGCTCAGGTGGCAGTACTTTAATGAGAAGGACATTCTTAATTTCTACTTATCCAGCAAAATCTTAACCTTGCTTCAAATGTAAAGGTTGGAGCTATTATACAAAAATATTTTCTCATTTTGATATAATATAATATCACAATAATTTTTCTGTGCACAGTAAATTTCTGCTGAATCTATCAAATACAAAACGAACTTAGTTTTATACCTTTTGTAACTGCTCAAAAATGTATGACAGCGTCCTTGGGATAATGCCTCTGTCACTGTAACGCTCAGCCCCACCTGTGATAGTGAATGTCTTGCCACTGCCCGTTTGTCCATATGCAAAGATGGTACCGTTGTAACCTGCCAGCACACTGCAATGAAGAAACAGCACACTTTTAATACCAAAATGACTACCTGCATTTGTATTAGATGACTTGAATTCTAATAGCAACCTTATTAGATTCTATGGAAAAGATATTTATAGAAATACCTACAGAAATATTTAATTATGTGACTATGTATTACATTTTAATCCATCAATATCAGCACATTGATCCTTTTCTCTAAGAAAGAACATGTGACCCCATAGAGTCCAGTTATCTTAAAATATTGTCTTTGTATTTTAGTATGCTAGACTTGACTCAAAGAATATGTTGAAAAAAATATCCTGAGGAAATAACACTTGTAATTTGGCCCACTGTCCACCCGATGCCTGCTACCTCACCTGGTCACTTCCTAGGATACTAGAATACACACAGGTTACTAGTATGTACCTTGTAATGTGATTCCCTACTTAACTCTCATCACCAACTGAAAATCCTCCAGGAATGTCCCTCCTCTCCTTTCTTGGAATGACTCTTTTTTTAAGAAGATGCTGGTCTATGCGTGTTCTTCAGCCCTGCAAAAAAGCCCTTGATTGATGGAGGTCTCAAGAGCCCTGGATCATCTCAGCCTCTGCAGACCACTACCTATAACAAGACACTTCGAACAGTGTGCGTGACATGCTTCAGGCTTTGGGTCTTTTTCTAGGCTACATGGAACAGTAAACTCTTGCAGCTTTACTCCCTTTTATTTATTTATTTTTTGTTACATGTGGCTCCTTGATCTCAAGATGTTTTCATCAATCTAGCCATGATGCTGTCGGCTAATGTCACCCACATTGTGAGTGGTTGATTTCAATAGATGACTCCTCTGCGATCACTCCTCATAGTTCACGTTGGCACTCCTGCTCTGCTGCTGAGATCCTGTTCACAGTTCTTTCTAGGCCTCTTTATACCTCGGCTGCATGCCGAGCGACCAGTCATCACAATTCCCTTTCAAAACACACAGGTGTTGCCTAAGACTTTTTATGAAGTGGTTAGATAGGTTCATAGCATCTTATGCAACTAACCACCTAACAATATGGTTAACAAATTAATACATCTTTTGTTCTGTACGCAGGTGATATTGATGCTTACAAATTGAGAGGACTCAGTACAGGGAGGGAGAAAAGAGATATTACTATTATGTGGTTCACCTTTCTACTTTTGAGAAACTTAATCATTTTTTTTTTCATTTGTCTTCACAGGAAGACAGTAGACTGTTGAAATCCTAAGCTTGTAAGGTGTTGGAATTACCGTAATGCATTTAGGTGGATGATTATAGAATCTTTCTCTTCAACAGAATCTATCACCAACGAAACAGAAATGTCCCATTATCAAGTCTCATTTGGATATATGGTATTTCTTGGCCATAAATGCTCTATATAAATGAAGTCTATAACTTTTAGTATTAGACCTAAAATGTTTTATTGATTCTGGATATAAAAATTTCTGAAATATATTAGGCATTACTATCTTGAAAAGTAATGAATACGGAGTAAAAATGAACACTTTCATTCTGACACAGATATGGCCTTTGGAAAGTGAGTACTACAGCATGCTCCACTGGTACTTGCTGATTGTTATGTCTACTTTTTTTACACTTACATCTTCTTTCTCACCATCAACTGTTCCTGCCTACCTGCCTCTAATATGTGCTCTCCCTAACCTCATCTGCTGTGGGATGGAAAATTACGTAGCACAGTTTCACAGACACTGTATGAAATTAAAAGGATGGAGGTTCTACCTTTAGATACTCCCATGCGCATTTATTACATTGCTACAATATGAAATTAAATAAAGAAATGACAACAGACAAAGTTTATTTCTAGTTCCTTTATCTAGCTAGAGGCCCTGCATCCCAACTCAATCTCTGGATTGAGTGTCCATTCTTTATTGGGCCCCAGGTGTTTATATCTTCTTCTAGTCTCATCCGTCTTAGAGAAAAAAATAAAGAAATAGAAATGGTGGTGTAAGAACCTTTGACAATCTGTTCCTTCACAAGAATAATGATAGCAGTGGAAAAAATGGTCAAAATCGACTTTCTCAGAACAGAACCCTGGAAATTATCCAAAGGTACACAATAATCCAAGGAATGTTTATTTAAGAAAAACAGCTGAAACTCAGTAGAACAGCAGGCTCCACAGTTTTAGCTTGAAAATCCTCAGCCCTCTTTCCGCAGCTCCATGGTAGCCTTGAAAAACTACAGCCTCAAAGCCACAGGGGCTGTGAAAACCAGCAGCCTAAATATCACTTCAGGGAGCAGGACAGGTTTGGAACTCCTCAAAACCCTATCCCCAAAGAACTCTTTTAAGTTCTGTGACTGTAGCAGGAAAAGAGGCATGAGACAGGAACTGTTGATGAAAACCCGTAATAGGTGTAGATACAACATTACAGAATTCTATAATGCTATTCAAAGGAATAAACAAGTTTAATAAAGTTGCAAGATACAAGATCAATTTACAGAAGTCAAGTGTATTTTTACACAACAGCAATGACCAATCTGAAAATAAAATTCAAATATAAATTTTAGGAGAAGCTCATCTCTGACCTTTCTCACAGCTCCATGAAAAAGCTTCATTTACAGTATAAAACTTGTCTGTGATCTGACTCAGAGCTACTCAGGATGAGCAACTCTATCGCCAGGCTATTTGTTGAGAACAATCCATGGAAAATATCTAACATCGAAGCTGCCTAAGGCTACAATACCATCAAGGTCAACAAGAAGGTGACCAAACATTTAAAAGAAAAATCTGTGAAATAAGACGTCTGTAAGGTGCTTTGAAAAGTTCTGACATGTTGCTTAGGACTTTAGAGGACACACACACACACACACACACACACACACACACACACACACATACACACATACATTCAGGACTATGGACATGTCCAGAACATACTTGAGAAAGTCCCTGAGACTCTGCACATGCTGGAAGTAAGGGGTAAGGCAGAGATACAGACTGATGGCTCAAGGCATTTAAAGAAATCCCTGTTCAATCATTAACTCACCACTAAAGTAATTGCACATAGATTTCAGAAGCTGCACATGGCAAACATAGAGGTAAATAAGGTGATCAAAAACTTAAAAGAAAAAAATCTATGGAATAAGATGGCTATGAGGGGCTTTGAAAATCACTGACATATTCAGATATAGACTTTACAAAATTAAACCGGAATAGTCACTAAATAAACAGGCAGAAGAACAACAATAACATCTAACAACAACAATAAACCTTGGGGAGAATAGGAATCTGATTTCTAAGGCTGTCATAATATGGTACTGCTATAGTACTATATATACACTATAGACATTTGTTATATATAACAAATGCTCAGTTTTCAACAACAACAAAAAATTACAAGACACCAAAAGGAATAAGAAACTATTGCCCATATACAGGAAATAAAATGGAAATAGTCCTTGAGAAAGCCCAAATGTTATTTTAGCAGGTAAAAATTAAATTAGCTACTATAAATATATTTAAAGAATAATAGTAAAATATGTTTCAGGAATTAAAGGAATAAAAGAAAATTATGTCTCATTAAATTGATTAATGAAAAAGTAACTTATTTTAAAAGAACCAAATAGAAATTATGGGATTGAAAAGTAAAGTAACCAAAATTAACAGCAAATTTGACTTGGTACAAGAAAGAATAAGTGAGTGTGAAGATAGGTCCATTGAGATTTTCCAATCTCGGGAACAGAAAGGACAAAAAAATGAAGAAAAATGGAACAGAGGATTCAGAGACCAACGCATCCATAATAAGAGTCCTAAAAGAATAGAGGAGAGAATATTGAAAGAAATTATGACCAAAAACTTAAAATTTTAATGAAAATCATCAATCTATATATCCAAGAAGCTTGATAAACTCCAAGTAGAACAAACACAAAATATCCAAACCTAGACACATCGTGATCCGTCTGTCCATAAACAAAGAGAATCTTGATGGGAGCAAGAGAGAGTGACTGATCAAATACAACATTCTCGGTAAGATGAACAGTGGATTTCTCATTAGGATCCATGTAGGCCAGAGGTGATGGGATAAAATATTTAAAATGCTGAAAGTGAAAGATTGATCTGAATTTCTTTTCAGAAATTGATGAGCTTGTCCTAAAATTTATATTTGAATTTTATTTTCAGATTGGTCATTGTTGTTGTGTAGAAATACATTTGACTTTTGTAAATTGATCTTATATCTTGCAACTTTATTAAACTTGTTTATTCCTTTTAATAGCATTATTGAATTCTGTAATGTTGTAACTACATCTATTATGGGTTTTCATCAACAGTTACTGTCTCATGCCTCTTTTCCTGATAGGCCTTAAAAACTAGAAAAGGAGCTCTAATCTATTTTTACCTTGGAGTCTACCACAAAGAAATTCTCTGACCTACCTTATCTGATAGTAGATGATACAACCCTCTTATCGAGATCCCTCCAGTAGATAGATACTGGCCAACTGAATGGGACTGAATAGGAGTTGGGTTTCCCTCTAACCAGCAGAGGTTCTCAGACTTTTTATATATGTGATCATGTCTTGTGCAAGAGATAATTTAGATCTTTCCTTTTTAATCTGCACATTTTTTATTTCCTTTTCTTGCCTCAGTTCACTAGTTAGTTTGCTAGCAACAAATTCTCCCAGTTTTTGTTCTTCATTCATTATTTAATAGTAATTCTACCAGCCATAGAATTTTTTATTTGCATATGAAATAATTTTCTATATAGAAAATCCTAAGAACTCCTATGAAACTATTACAAGTACAAATGTTGTAAGGTATAAGACAACATCAAAGACGGTAATCCTTGAGGCTGGGAGTAGTGGTGTAGTTGAGTATAGAATGTAGGTGCTTGAGTTCAACTCTCAGCATAAGGAAAAAAAATAGATGGTAATATCACCCAAATTGATCTACATTTGTACAATCTCTATCAAAATTCAGGCTGGCTTCTTTGAGTAAATTGGCATAATTCCCCTAAAATTTATATGGGAAAGCAGGGGATACAAAACAGCA